GGGAAGAGCAGAAAAACCAGGCAGGGCTGCAGGGCCATCAGGATTTCTGCCTTTTCACTGTCCCCTCTGCCACAGCCATGTCACCTGGGCAGGAGCAGCAATTCCAGGACTGTGCCGAGGTGCGCCGGGCGGGCATCCATGCCAGTGGCATCTACACCCTGCACATTGCCAACCTCAGTGAGCCCAAAAAGGTGAGCACAGTCCAGAGAGGGCTTCCCTGCATCACCCTGGAGTGTTGCCCCCCCAGTGCACACCAGTCCCACACCAGATCCCTGTTATTTGGGACATCCCAGGGCAGTTCCCCATCCCATTCGGCCTTGGGGGTGCACAGGGGTGAGGGCAGAACAAGGACACAAGCACAGGACAAAAGCAGGGCTGGCACAGCCTTCCAAATGGGGAATAAAACTGATTTTAAAGGCACCCTGACCTATGAGCACCAGACCCCAACCCCTGCCCATGGCCATGGAGGGCGGAGAGACGCCTCAGCCAGGCTGGGCACAGCACACCCTCGCCAGCCTCTCAGCCAGCTCTAGCACCCACAGAGCACCCACGCTGAGCTGCCCAGCCTGGCAGGGGTGCACCTGGCCACCCACTCCAAGCCACCCCCAGCCTGTCCCTCGCTGCCCTTGCAGGCATACTGTGACATGGAGACAGATCGAGGGGGCTGGACCATCATCCAGCTTCGTGCCAACGGCAGCCTCAGCTTCCAGAGGAGCTGGAGGGAGTACAAGCAGGTGTGTGCCTGACCGGGGAGGGGGACACCCTGGAGGCACCCCAAGCACCCTGAACTCACCCACCCTGCTGCTCCCCAGGGCTTTGGGGACGCGTCGGGGGAATACTGGCTGGGGAACGAGGCCGTGCACCTGCTGACGAGCCGGGTGCCCTACGCCCTGCGGGTCGAGCTGCAGGACTGGGAGGGCGGCCAGGTGTATGCCCACTACAGGAAATTCCAGCTGGGGAGTGAGCGGCAGTTTTACAGGTAGGGGAGAGGCGCTGTGGGAACAGCCACCCAGTGCTCCCCATTTCTGACTGTCCCCAAGCCCTGTGGGCAGCAGTGGCCAGGGGGAAGGGCTGGGTGTGGTGCCCTAGGGAGGTGCAGGCTTACCTGGGGCTTCACTGGGTTGTCCTGGTGTAGTTATGATGCCAGGTGACAGGCACGTTGCTGTGACACTTTCATCTCTCCCTGGGCTCCTGAGTAGATTTTTCATGTATAAAATTGCTTCAAGGCAGTAGGATTTGCCATCCCAGTGGGAGGAACTTGGGTGTTTGCACTGAGGCTCTTTGTTTGGGCATGAGAGGTGACACAGCTGTGGCCAATCCCAGGGATGTTGGGCATCCCCAGGCTGTCCATGTCCAGGGAGAGATGCTGTGCTCCTAATGCTCAGCTTGCCATGACCATGTGTTCCTGGCCATGGGCAGGAGGGTGGAAAGCAGCTGGGGGCCTTCACTGCTGGGCTGGAGGTGGAACCAGACCCCAGACATCCCCTGCACCATCCATCCCATGCATGCATCGAGCTGACTCCCAGCAAGAGGACTGGAGAGGCCTTGGGGGTGGATCCTCTCTGCCCCAGCATACCACAACCTCCACTCCTGGGGACAAAGGACAGGAGGCCAAGCTGTAACTGCAGGATCTCTGCCCACATCCCTGTGTTCAGCTCATGGCAGCCCCTGAGCAGTGCTGGGGG